CCTACGTTCTAACGTTTCCGTGGTTACAGTTATCCCTTCGAAGGGTGTCATCAGGCAACCATCATTTTGATACGATTCGATTCCGCGCTGAATTGAAAAGGTACTATAACAACATCGAACCATATTCGCAGTATGACCTTATTCAGGACTCATTGAAATCTAAAAATGTAATGGTTTCCCTAACGTAACTGGTAGAGAGACACTTGACCTCCCCCTGTATCCCTTCCGCAAAAAGGCTGAGGCATGAAGACGCTGACGTTCAGCGTTGTCGAGAGATAGTCCCGCCTAGAAGACAGTCCTCACGGGCCTAAGCCTTGATGGGGGGGGGGGGAAGGAGGCGCTATCGAGTGTCCCCTCTCCTCAATTGCGTTAGCGCCTCCAATGTGTGGTTCTATTTTCAACCTTTTAGTTGCTATAGTTCGAAGAAAATAGATTTATTATTGTACATTATTCACAAATTGTCCCAACAGGAGCTACCCATTGCCTCACATTCTTCGGAGGAACTTTTCGGAGTAATATTAATTATCCTTTTAATTGGTTAGAGGCATACTTCTGGGAGTGATCCTAATGTCCTTCATCCTTGTAACTGTTTAGAATCATATGGCACGATAATTTGATAGACGGTCTGAAATGGTTGTACGGGTGCTAGTGGGTAAATGGTGAAAAGCGAAGTGAAACTCGACTCAGAAGGCAATTCTGGACGAGTTTCCCGTTGGCATCGTGTCAATAACCGCTACGTCAGATACGGCTGCATTTATTTACTCATATCCATGCAGCACTGCATCCGCTTCACATCACTTCGCTTCATATTGTACTTCGCAAATGAAACGATGCGAGCATCAGCATCGGTCGGACATTTGTGGGCGGGCAGGCGCGCTGGACGTCCGGCAGGGCACATCGTTGTTGGGGAATCCCCAATAGAGGGGTCGTATTTGGTCGCCAGGAGAGGGGGGGGGGTCGTATTTGGGCTGAGAAAAATTTATTTTGATAGTTGATTTTTCCTGCTTCGCGGCGTTGTAGGGGGGAGGGGTCGTACTAGGTCATTGGTGAGAGGTCGTAATTACTTTCTGGCCTTTTAGGAGTGGTGGTTGACTTTGGTGATTTTCCTGTTTCATGCGTACTATATGCCCCGCTCGACAGCTCGTTCCATGAGGAGGGACATAGGATCGGGGGGGGGGGGACTCGACTAAAATCACCAACCAGTGATGTGCCCTGCGTCTGGGTCGGTATATTGCAGCTTGAGGAGGGCGTTATAAAGGTACCTTTCTTGGAAAAGGCGCCACATACCGCCTGCTCATGGGGCCGAAATCTGTCCTGCTAGGCGTATTAATCCTTTACGTCTTGGGCATTTATCATGCCACTTGCCCCTGAATGAATCTGTTATCACTTAGTTTGGTAACAACTTTGGAGCAGTCGACTAAGTCCATCAGAACTTTAGAAACAGAAAAAGTTAAGAAAATCTTATGCAGTGACCCCCAGAAATCCTTTGAAATTATATGGAGTGATAAAAGAGTGCTGTGTAAGCACCGGTTATTGATTTTGACGAGATAACCCATTCTATGACTTTGTTCCGAGTTTCTTTTTACCTGTTGTTACAGCATCGATCAAGTGTTTACCAGTCATTGACTTACCTTTGTGTTAACTCACATGTGCTATTGACAGTTTTCCGCTATTACTCTTCGGGGGACTAGCCCTTTATCAAGATGAGATTTTCTCAGCAGCTATCCATTTTTTCTTTTTTTATATGCATTCTCGCCCTCTTTGCATGTAATAAACAACTTCAGTTGCTCGGCCGCCGATTAAATCGTGCACGCCCGCTGGCGACCGCTTGGGGGGCTGTCTTGGCCCGTTTCAAATGCATTGTATCGATCCCCCTTTATTTCGTATGTATATGATATGCATGATCGGCCGAGCGGTTTCGTTCGTTCACAATCGTTCGATCTGATTTCGCCGAACGTTCGCATCGTTGTATCGCGCGTGCGGGCACGCGTGCAACGTTTGCAATCATCGTTATCGATGGTGCTTTGTTGATTTTTCTGGAAATTTCCCTCGTTCTTAATCGCTACTTTTTTTTCCACACAACCACTAAACGTTTGACGTGAAACGTTTTTCAGTCGACGTTCGCGTTTTTACTTTGTCGTCATCGACGACGATTTCTGAAACGACGATGCGCGGCGTCGCGGCCTCCTACGATGACAAGCCGCCTCCTCCACCGCTACGATTCAGTAGCGGATCTGGCGGTAAGGAGCAATCGGTGAGAAGCTTTATTTCTTCGTTTTCATTCAATTAGCTCTTTTTGGCGCTTCAACTATAATAATACACCTGTTACAACTGTAAATAAATCATTATGTTCATATGTTTTTTTTTCATAAAAATCGCTATAAAATTCCCCCTCGTCCCTTCCGTTACTGGCGACCACCCAGGGATGATACGACATCTTGTTCAGTTTCCGTCCAACGGCGGGTGCGAAACGGAAACTGAACCACTCCTTCGGAACCCCACCCCCTCTCTTGCAAATTCATTGAATAGAGAATTTCAATTCATCATTGTTATGAGATGAGTCATCGAAATTGCTTACGAATTTAATTATTCTGTATTCTGTATTGTACTATTATAATATGGTAAAAAGCGTACAATCGGCTACGTGTTAGGGCCAAGGGAGGTCGTACATTAGGTGCTCCCAGTAAGGACGTCGTATTTGCTTTCGAGAGAAATGTTTTTGATTCCTGAATTCTTTCGAATTTGGTGGTTTTCAAAAGTGGTAGAAAGTTAGGAATAATCTGGGAAGTGAACAGGCATGATGGTAAAGGAGTCGTGCCACAGGAAGAAATTGGGGGGGGTCTTATTCTGCAGGACTTTCGCCCATGGATCGTGGCAGACCGTGCCCTGGTTAAATCATGTCGTATGCAGGGGTGTAGCAGCAACCAAATACGATCCCATCCATGATAGGGTCGAGAGAACCCTATCATGGATGGGACGTATTTGGTCGCTTAGGTAGGGGAGGGGGGGGAGGTGGGCGTA